TACTCTTACATTTAGTTATTTAATTCATATCTAATATTTTTTCAAGTTTCTAACAGTAATAAGGCTTGAGAAATAATATATATATAAATAGTGGTATTAGAAATGTATCATTATTATCCATGTTGGTCTAGCAAAATTGATAATCCAGCATGATTCTGGAATCCTGCGTGCTGGAAAAGCAATGGTGTGTCTGTAATTTTGATTTGTCATTTTCTGTTATTTTTCAGTCATAGAGCTTCAGAGGAAGGAGATTTTCATTTCTAACAGTCATAGAGCTTCAGAGGAAGGAGATTTTCATTTCTAACAGTCATAGAGCTTCAGAGGAAGGAGATTTTCATTTCTAACAGTCATAGAGCTTCAGAGGAAGGAGATTTTCGTTTCTAACAGTCATAGAGCTTCAGAGGAAGGAGATTTTCGTTTCTAACAGTCATAGAGCTTCAGAGGAAGGAGATTTTCATTTCTAACAGTCATAGAGCTTCAGAAGAAGGAGATTTTCGTTTCTAACAGTCATAGAGCTTCAGAAGAAGGAGATTTTCGTTTCTAACAGTCATAGAGCTTCAGAGGAAGGAGATTTTCATTTCTAAGTCAGTCAGAGGAAGATTTTTCGTTTCAGAGGAAGGAAGAGATTTTCGTTTCTAACAGTCATAGAGCTTCAGAGGAAGGAGATTTTTATTTCTAACAGTCATAGAGCTTCAGAGGAAGGAGATTTTCGTTTCTAACAGTCATAGAGCTTCAGAGGAAGGAGATTTTCATTTCTAACAGTCATAGAGCTTCAGAGGAAGGAGATTTTCATTTCTAACAGTCATAGAGCTTTAAAGATGGGTAATATACATAAATAGTAGGATCAGAGATGTATCATTATTATCTAACCTCTGTTGGTTTGGGAAAATAGATAACCCAGTGTGAGTTTTTAACCCAGTGTGTCAGAAAAGCAGTGGTGTACCTATATTTTGATTTTTAGTTTTTTCTAGTTATTGGCAGATCTTTAATTTTTGCATTTGAATGTTGTATAAATACTGTAAATAATGCTTTTTGTTTTGTTTTTCTTTTTTAGATGGGGTGGTAAATGAAATTTTTTATTTTATTTTTTTATTTTATTTTTTGTTAAATGTATCACAATTTAGGATTATATTAAAAAAAATATTTTCCTGTTCTTGGTCAAGTTTAGATCTTCTTAATACGGAATTTTTTTTTTTTTTAGCAACTTTGGAAGAAGCAAAAACAACTTGGCAGTGACTTAAAGAAAATTGGGCATGGGAGGATTTTTATTATTTGTATATAAATACTTGCAAAACAATTTATACATGCAATTTAATAAATATTAGGGTGTATCAAATGTATTTACGTTTTTTTTGTTGTTTTTTTTAAAATTTCAAACCTGAACTTATTTCATAAAGATGAGAGTATAATTATATCTCTTCAACAAAACTATTCAGTAGTACATTTTACTTTAGATGTACTAAATACAACTATTGGGATTATATCAGGTGTTCAGGTATTATTTTAAGCTGGACCTCAAAAGCCACTACTCACAAAAATTTGGGAAGTGGAAGGAAATGACACCATACAACTAAAAACTGGTTCAAGGGTGGTGACTTGTCACTTAATATAAACCCCAGAAATGGATGGCTATCAGTTGTCAATTACAACACTTTAAAATGCAACCAGACCACTCCCCATCGAAAACGTTCGAAAGATACAATAAGTAGAGCATTACATAAGCTTTTAGAAATGGAAATACTTGAGATACACCTTCTTAACAGTTGTATATATTCCATATATACATTTAATAAATAACAATGTTTTTACATTGAAGAAAAATTAACACTCACATGAACAACACTTCATTCATACTTTAAATTAAGCTGGCTAAATCTGAATGCTTGACACAAATACCATGTACAATAAAGAAATACTGCATTTCTTGGCATATAACACACACCTATACTTTGATAAGGAATATTTATAAAAAAAAACTAATACTATTGAACTTGCACAGTGGAAGTGAGGCAAGGTTGTATACTGTCACCAATGCTCTTCTCATTAGCACTCGACTGGCACAAGGTCACAGAAGGGAGAATACAATAGGCTCTGACAATAGTGCTAGATGACCTAGCACCAGAACATTGGGCAGATAACAGAAAGGAACTCCAAAACTGCTAGTACTATTGGTCAATGCAAACAAGACGTGGGTCATGAAGAAGGACCTCATGATAGTAAATGGCCAACTACTACAAGAAATGACAGAGTTTGTTTACTTGGGTAGTAAGATCACAACGCATGACTACTGTAGGATATAATATATATATATATATATATATATATATATATATTTAATTCTGGGATCATCAACATAGAAGCATGTCAAACAAATGCTGTTTAAATATCTATTACCAGATACCTAACCAGCAGGATGTGTTTTTTAATCTTTTAAAGGTGTTATTTCATTATATTCGTTTTATTTGGACTAATTTTGATACCTTTTCTTTTTTACTTTCTTTATCTATACATTTTGTTCACTGTACACTCTAGTCTTTCTCTTAATGTTTGTAATATTGTACTTTGTTCAGATGGGACATGCACATATCTTCTCGTACACCTCACATCTGGAGCGTGTCTTTTTCAAGCTCTTTAAACTGCACTCTCCTCATACACACACACACACACACACACAACTCTTGACCTTTCACTGAACTAAGTCAATTTCACCAACACTCATATTTTTGGTGGGGTTGTCCCTTTTTTCATTAGTGGATTTTATGATGGATATACATTAATATCTATAGCATTCTGATTTGATTATTTGAGCATAGCATATTTCTTAGTTTATTCCAATGTTTTATTTTCTAAATAAAGTGTTGCCTATCATGATGGGGGTTTCAATGTTGGGAATAGAATTTTGATATTGTGGATAATATTCAACTAAATAGATTTCATAATCACTATAATTATGCTTTTCAAATTTCATGTTTTTTTATTTTAATAATGAAATGAATACCAATTTTTAACATTATTAAAAAATTAATATTTATTAAAATAAATTTTATATTCACAATAAATGCTATTAATAACAATAATACTGTTTATTATTTCTTTAAAATTAAAATGTTTCTATGCAATCATCAATGTTTTCTTTATGCAAAAGTATTTCTTTTATTTTTACAACTTTATGCTGTTATGTTACAATTAAAACCGGAATTAAAACTTCAAAGATATTTTAATTTATTTAAATTATTAGAATTCATTTTAAAGTCATTGATCATTAATTTAATTATTTTTTTTATTTCTCAATCTTTTACTACATGTACCAAGATTCTAAAAACCTGTTTTAATTATTGTTATACCTGACGTACCTATTCTATTATTAATAGACTCCTCCACACATAATAAGTAGTAGTAGCGGTTGCCAGTTCGGCTCAGTGTTTTTGAGCGAGTCAGTCAATATCGGACATTGAAGTACCAACCATCACAACTAGATTGCTGCATCATTAACTAATTATTTCAAGTTCCTAACGTTTTGTACATCGAACCTAATTTAGGAACGACTTAGTGAAATACAAGCCTCCACTGTGAAAACTACTCTACAACAATTATATAAAAGTAGGTTAATATGAGGAGGTGTCTTAATAACTGGGGGTGAAATTTTTCCAAATATACAATAAATACAGGATCTTAATAAAAATGAACATTGTGGAATCATGTGAAGTGTCAAAAAGTGAAAAATTAATAAATGGAGTGATCTTAATAAGCTAAAGGTGTGGCTCAGAAAAAGACCTCACCCATCACCATATTTTAGGGTAATGTATGCAAAACATTTGGTCTATAGTCTTACATATTACAAATCTTACCTTTGCATTATTAATATTGCTACCCTTTCCTCTGCATTCTTTTTCAAGGCCTCTTATTGTTAATTTCATTCAAAGTTGTTTTCTGTTGCCATAGCAGGATATGACAACACAACTATGAGATTCAAATTAAAGAATCAGAGTTACCTTCAGTGGCAGGATAAACTTTTTGTACATTAAATGAAGTCACAGAGTGATAAAGATTAACGAAAACATGTCATTTTGTGTGTTAGAAAACAATTGATGCTAGTATTTATATATATATATATATATATATATATATATATATATAGAGAGAGAGAGAGAGAGATACGCTCACACACATATATATATATATAGAGAGAGAGAGAGAGCAAGAGAGATAGTATGGACATAAAAATCAGCACTGCATTGTCATTGTCAGTTTAATGGTCTGAAGATTGCTTGAGGCATGAAACTGACAGTTACTATACAGTATTGATTTCTATGTCCACACTGTCTGTATCTACAAACACTATCTCTGATACTGAGCACTCTTCACCCCAAAATATAGCAAATTTTAAGTACATATTAGTCAGATATGTACCAATGTTTAAAATCATCTTTAGAAACCTTAAAAAATGTTTAAATTCCTGGTCTTTTCCATTACTGTCAGTTTCATGATCAAAATTGATCATATCATGAAATGGACAGTAATTCCAAAAATTCATTTTACATTTTTGAAACTTTTTAAAGGCAAATTTAAACATTGGTCTGCATCTGTATTTACAACATAAATTGTATATTATTTATATTGCAAATAGTGGGTGCAAATGTAGGTACTATTACATATGTGAGTTTGAAAAAAAATCAATGTTTAGTGCAGAGTTGAAATTGAGAAACTTAAGTTTATATTTATTTCTTATAAAAGTATGATTGATTCATTTTTTTTATTATTTAAAGCCAGAAAATATTTTTAGATTGTAGGAATTGTTTTTTTTTTCTTTTTTGGAAATAATGGTTTAGTGATACAAGTCCAACTAATTAACCCATAGCTGGAGGAAGAAGAGGTGGATTCATACCTTTCCCAATGGTATTTGCACAAAAGTGAATATAATGAACCCAACTGGAATAGGAACTTGGCTCTCCAATTAACAATTCCAAGCCATTATCCATTACATCACTAACACATCCAAGCTTACAGTACTTGGTATTACAAAGCGGTCACCCATCTAAGTACTGACCAAGCTCGACATTGCTTAACTTTGGTGATCATACGGGAGCCAGTTTCAACATGATATGGCCGTAAATCCCAACACATTTTTATTTTCTTAGAATGAAGACTGTACATCTACTTTTGCCCTCACCTACACATACAAGGTATTTTAATGGGCATTAACTGTCTTCTTTATCATAAATTATTATTATTATTATTATTATTTAAGCCAGCTATTTATTTATTATTTTATTAGTACCTTCTAGAGAATTAATGGATTTATTTTTAATTCAGCATTTTTATTACTTTAGACATTATTTTTAGCATTTGAAATAGAAGCCCTATTATTTATTTTTATTTTAAACTGTATTATATCTATAAACCTGCACACTCAAAAAAAATTAAAGAAAACTTGTTCTCCAGTGGTTTTCAAAACTGAGTCCCCGTTTTGAAGGAGAAATTGGCATTTGATCCAGCCTGCTTTAAACCACTTGGCTACAGAGAGTGTTGTAGAACCATACAGGGCTGTGACACTTTCTGGTTTAAAGTGCATCAGATCATACAGTAGTTTCTCAAAAAGGGATACACAGTTCAAATGGTGGTTTCCTACAAAAGAGGAACTCAGGTTCTAACCTTGTTGGAGAGTGAAATTTCCCCTATTAAGTTTGTCAGTCCCTAAACATTAATTAATGAACAATTGTCATTTGCTCAGGCATTTGAAGGTTGAAACTGACAGTAATACCAAAGATCTTGTAATCTTATATTTTTGAAGGATTTAAAGATGATTTTAAACATCAGTCTATATCTAAAATTGTTGTGACTCTATCCTTGATAAAAAAAAAAATATAATTCATACCAAAAAAAGATGTAGATAGGTTTTCCTATTGTCTCGATCACACTCCTCCCCAGTCTTTTGAGCAGGTGTAGAGTGTTTATCCCTTGTTTCTTGATTAGGATTGGGGTTTCCAGTTCCTTCTAAAGTCTACTTCAGCTCTATAATCCTAACACTTGTCCTTTCCTATGCTAAAAGTCCACACGGTAACCCTCTACCGTGAGTGGCTCTTGGGCCTTGTATTGGATGAACATTAGTTAAAAAAAAAATTATTATCATTTTTTGAATTACAAATATTAATTTTATATAAGAGACAGAGATACTGTTTTCTATCTTGATTCAACAGCTCCAGAATAAAACAGATACTTAAGAAGCGTTAAAGTGAACAGTCATTGAAATATGATAAAGCAAATCCTGAACTTTCACTTATCATAATGGATGGGTCTTCTCTCAAAGAGATTCCTCGCTTTGAACGTCTGTTGGGACTCAAGTTCTCCCAAGACCTCAAGTGGAACTTGAATATCTGATCTATTGCTAAAGATGCTGGAAAGATAGCAGTTCATTGTACCATTCCAGTAAGTATCTGACTTCTCCTGCTATACTCTACAAGAGTCAGATCAGACCAAAAATGGAGTATTGCTGCCATATTTTGGCTGGAGCTGCTTGTCTTGATGAACGTCTACACTGCCTTGTGGGTGATGAATTATTTTCCACTCTACAGCATCTTTCCCACAGATAAAACATTGCAAGCTTCTTGCTGCTCTATCGCTATTTCCATGTTATGTATTCTGACAAGCTACATTCTTTAGTCCTACTGTCCAGGACCTTTACAACTGGGACCCACCATGCCACATATACAAGATTGAAAACTCCATTCCCTTTGTATTCTATTAGCAGGAAATAAGTTCCATTTAGATGGTTTCTTCCCAGGAACTGTTGCTTTGTAGAACAGACTCCCAGCAGGATGTTTTCCCAATCGCTACAACGTTGACCACTTCAAGTATAGAGTTAACTGTTATCTTTCTTGCGTAACCCCATGGACATTGCTTACTTTTTCTTATGCTCATACAACAGCACACAATAACTCTCTACCTTAAGTAGCTCTTGAGCCTTGTATTGGGTGAACATTAGTATAAAAAAAAAATAGCCAAAGTAAAAAGATAAGGAAATCAATCCAAATAAGTAGAATATATTGTCTTCTAAAAAGAATTCAGTCAGAAACAATAAATTCCATGATAAATGTGTAGAAGTTACAGAAACTCACCAACTTCCAACATACATTTTTCCATCGACTCACACATCGCATACATACATAAATTAAACAGATTTCATCATCTGAAAAGCACATCAGAAACATACAATTACTGGCTTTCTATATCAGAAAAATCTAACCTTGACTAAGAACAGGATGCTAGAATAATTTATACTGTTGCTTTTTAGTAAGCTTTGCCACATCTGGTTTAATATTTAAACACCCGACTAGGACAAAACTCCTATCTAATGGCTGGTAAGTGTAGCATACTCACCATCATTCTGAAGCATGTGCCATTGTGAATGTATGTGTGTGCACACTAGTATATGTTGGAATAAATAGTAACTTACTAAACTTAGCCTAGGCTACAATAGTGAGGATTGAACTCACAAGCAATGATATGATACTATCATGCTGATCACAGCTATATGGCAGGTGCTTTAACTTGTATGTTATATTTAAAATTTTTTAAATAATTAAAGTTTTTTGTTTATTTTTGAAATTCCGCTGTCATCAGACCGGTGCTTCGTAAATAATACACAATTTGACTTCAAGAGTAATGTAAATTTAACAGTGTGAATAAATAATCTCCTTTCAATTCTTCTAGACACTTTTGTATTATAATTATAAATTTGCCTATTGGGTGAATTTAAAAAAAAAATGAAATGACAAAGTATTTGCAAGTAAATCCACAAAATATGGAGTAGTAAAAAAAAAAAAAAAAAAAACTTTGTCCTTTTCAAAATTTCTTGTAAAATTGGAAGATTTGTTAATAGTTTTTCTAAAAAAAATTTTTTTAAATTTCAAAATGCTGATTTAAAACTTTTTTTTAAAATATTTTAATTATTTTTCTTCTTTCTCCTTTAAGCCAAACTGACCATCGGGGGTGGCTGGACATATTCAGGCTTAAATTGTAGATAGTCCAGTAATTTTTGTGGTAATGGTAATCGTGGGATCATTTCAGGGGCAAAGTATTGTAGTATCCTGGTACGACAACGGTTCTGTAGATTCCCTTTATTAGGAAGCTTATAAACTTCAATATGGTCAGTGGGGGAATCTTGGACATTTAAGACCAGTGCCATTCGATCCCCACAGTTGGAAAACAGAGGCATGTAATTAACAGGGCAAGAATGCTGACCACAGATAAAGCGGATATACTGAATACAGTAAAGTGTTTGGGAGGTATCACCATCAAACACATAGACTGCCATAGTCAGGGCGTTATATTTGCGAGACTTCTTTTCCCGGCAGAAGCAACCACCTGTCATCATAATGGCAAATATTAACAACCCATCTTTTGAGAAGACCAAATTTTTCAACCTTGGCCGCCTCATATCACGAAAGACATCAATTTGGGGGTTAAATGCTGTCGTTTCCCAGTTATCCGTCCTGACAAGACTCAAGGAGTTCTCTTCTCCTTGTCGAAAGCTGGTCACAGCCAGACGAAGGCTGCCAAATCTTGGATCGAATGCAAACAGTGAATGACCGTAGGGCAAACTCACCTCACTTAACAGCTGCTTTGTTTTTATGTTGTAAAGCTGAAAGACATATGCACTGTTGTTGCTACGGAGACTAGGAAACTTTATGAGACAAGTTGAATCATCTGGGCTCAGCTCTCCCCATAATGCTTCATTAACAAATTCTACACTCTGTTTTCCAAAATGTCCAAGAAACTTATTGATACTCAAGTCAATGACTCCAAACTGTGTCATCATGTTCTGTACAAGATGGAGGATAACAAGGTTGTCATGGTAGCAGAGCACACTCTTTACATGGAAGTTCTGAATCGATGATAATTGGGCAGGAATATGATTGTACTCGAAATGTTCAGCCATCTTGGTGAATTTGCTTCGGCGGCGAAAGCTAAAGAATGAGTTGCTTTTGTTGATGTTGATAATGCCTTGCCTACTGGTACAAAAGGCAGGACTGCAATCCTTAAAGACGACACCATCACAAGTAAGCAGCGATTCCCCAAAACCTGCAGCTTCTGTAAAGAGAAAAAGAAATCGATAGGAAAATTGGAAAGCGAATAGCATGGGGATGTAAAAATGCTATATAAATTCAATAGAAAAAGTACTTCACATGTGTGTGTGTGTATATATATATATGTGTGTATGTATATGTGTATGTATGTAAATAAAATGTAATAGAATTTTTTGCAACATGTTGATGCATGTTGAAATACTCCCAATATTTAGTATTATTGAAGTTTAGTCTCTTTTAGTGAGGAAAATAAGAACAAGTAAAAAGTTCGTATTTAAGAAGTTGAGGCAAAGGTACCCTTTGACAAGGCGTCGGACGAGAGTTCATTAGCAGCAGCGGTCACATGCTTCGTTTCATCGCCGGGCCAGTGTGTCAGGAGCGAGCGACGTGACCCTTCTGCCTCCACCGTTGAATGGCACTCCTTTTGACTTTCCTGTGTTGAACTTATACACGCCTATCGGCTCCAAATGGCAATTTTTGAATACGCGGAATTGGTTGATTTAATTCTTTTCATTTTTTTTTTCCAGTTTATCCCAAACGGAAGTATCTGCGTCGAGCCTATGCGTAGACGTGCAGTTTTCATTAGTCGGGACTCGTTGGTAACTTCCGTTTATCCGTTTCCAAAGGGCAAGATCTCATCTTGTAACATGTGTATGTATGTAAATAAAATGTAATAGAATTTCCAACATGTTTGCATGTTGAAATCCACCCAATATTTTATTGTTGAAGTTATTCTAACATTTTTGATGAGATTTCAAACTCTTGTTTTTTCAATCAATGAAAGTTTATTTGTTTCCCATGGTTTAAATTTCTTTAATTTAATTTTATAGGACTTCTATGGTAAAACAATATCTTTTGAAAATTTCTTTTTTTCCCAAATTATAAACAATCTGATAACATAATTTAAACCAACAATCTGATTTATTAAAAAATTCATTTATTAAAACAAAAAAAATTCTTGAATATTCCTTGCTTGCTTTTGTCTTACCAGACTTTGAATCCTGGCACTTTGTGTCCTCCATATG